TTGTACAAGATCAAACCATCGATGGTTTTCCTAGGACCGGGAAATATTCTCGATAGAGCTTCTCAAAATAATGTTTTCTTTAAGATGGAGTGTTGCGTTGATTCATTCGTTTGTTTATGATTTCACCTGCAGGCAAGGAAAGATTGAAATATAATAAGTAGGTTGCGTAAGGATCATTGTCAATAAACTAACTCGGTTTGTAATAAAATATTATACTAACTCTAACTGTGTTCTTTGCTGTTTATTTACACGGTGGTTTGGGCTTCAGGGGCGGCTTTCAACATCTGTTAAGTTCTTCGGGTTTGGCCAAAGAAAAAGAAGACAAGAACTGTTAACAACGCCCCTAGCCTAAAAATTACGGAGGAAGAACGGTGAAGATCAACTTGCACTCCGGATCGAGTGATCTGGGTTTGAGCCCTGGCAGGGGTCAGGCAGTCCAAGGGACGTGAAAGGCCCATTACCCCCTGGAGATCATGGTCAAACGTGAGGTGACCCCTTCGCACCAAGGGTATAAATGAGTATCCAACCATCACATCCGGGGGGAGTAACAAGGTCCAGTAATACTCCTAGCTTCCTCATGTTAAAGAAATGTTGATAACACCCGGTAATGTGAGCCACTGTCCTGATTAACAGTGATAGTGGCAGGTTTATTTACTCTTATTCGAGTCACTTACTGGCATCAACAGAAAGAAGAACCATGTGTTTTTTGTTATGAGTTTGCACATCCATATTGTTTGCCTCGGAAGGCAAGATTGGAGTGTAGAGGATTCCGTCATTTTAGACTAGCTTGTCTAAGGTTGTTTCTTGATTTTGTTTATCCTATTCATAAAAAATGAAAACTTCCAGCAGCCTTTCAGTCAACTAGTTCTTAAATACTAAAAAAGGGGAAACATATACAGTATCATCTTCTTAAGCACTATTTTTGCCTTATTATTAACAAGAGCCTCGCCCTCTTCGAATGCTACTAGTGATACAGAAAAAGAACTGTTTGTTGTCTAAAAAAATAACAAAACCACTCGTTTTCTAAATCAGCTATAGCCTGTTATCTGGTTCTCTCGTATGGAAAAGAGTGAAATTCTCAAAATTTAATTTTTACGTCTTGTTATTACGCCTCAACTTCGTGTCCTCTATGCTTTAGAGGAAGAATGGTTGCGTTACGTTACGATATGTTACGTTACGTTATGTTAAGTTACGTTATGCATACGCTCCTACAACGTCAAGCTACAGGGTGCAACCAATCTTGATAAAGACTCGAGGGCTTGTTGCCATACTCGCGGAACACTTTTTGTCGCCGCGTCAAGCATTTTCATCTCTGAGCTTCGAGAACAGCTTTGCTTGAATGTCTACATCAATATCCCTTTTTCAGCTTCGGCTCTTAGTTGAAATGGTTTTACATCCGCCTGCTCTCAGTGCTTTCATTTTTCTTCAACATTATCGACTCCCATTTCCAAATCGTCAAAGCACTCGTCGCCTTGCTACTGGAGTTCGCTGAATTGTATATCTTGCAGCTTGGCAATAGTGCTTTCCTTTTTATCGAGAAGATAACATTTAGATTCCACGTGGTTTTCAACAGAAGTCGTACAGAACAAACCTTCATCTTTGATCGCTGGAATTGCAGCTAGTAAGTTGCCGTTAGGAAGTTTTCTAGCCTGTGTACCTAGGTAACAATTGAGTAATGATGTTCTTTGTTGCGAGATGAAACGCGCGCGCTTCTTTAATACGGATGCGCATGTACTTCTAAGTACTGTATATTATGTAGGCACCAGACATCGAACAGTATTTAACAATTAGACCCGTAGCCCGCAAGGGCTAGGGGTCAATAGCCCATGAGGCGAAGCCGAATGGGGTATCGACCCGTGGCCCTTGAGGGCGAAGGGTCTAATTGTTTTAGTATCACCCAACTAGTCAGACAGAAAAGGCAGTAACAAAGTTAGCAAATGCAAGTTGAAGAAATATTTATTTGGGAATAAAACGAAAGAAAGCCGCACGCTCGATTGCGCCAATTTTGCTACTCGAGGACTATTACTAATAGTCCTCTAGTAGCGTGGCCAATTAAAATGCAGGATTTGCATTAGTCCACTGGTTGGGTGATACTAAAACTTATGATTATTCTCACATAACAATTTTCACAGACACTTTTCCTCTTTATGATATAAAAGCTGCCAAATGAAGTGAATCCTATTTCCTTCTTTTTCTTCACTTCATGATCTAGTATGACTCAGTAAACCATATTTCTTCGTTCCTCCATTGTTCTCGCTGGTAGACTACTATCGAGCACGTTTCCTAGAAACAGAAAATTATTCTTGATCAGTTTGGCTTAAAAAATTCCATGCTTGCGTCAAACTGAATCTATAATTTTTTTTCTTGTAATCTTTGTTTTTACGCTTCAGTTTCAAGAAATGGAGATCAAAGACCGCACGAGTGTAAACTTAAGGAAATTTTATGGCGCTTGGCTTAGAGATGGCTTAGACCATGGCTAGACAGTGTGATGTTACATTGTTGTTTAAACGGACGATTTTTTTTTGATGCAGATTGATATCCTCTTGTAGCAGAAGAGAGTGCGGTTGTATTAATTGTAAAGTAGCTTTAACAAAGAATGAAGGAAGAGTAGGCATTTTTATACCATTTGTTAACATTATTAATTGACTTCTTCACAAGCAATACAATTAAGGAATTGAGACTCTTTCAACTGTTTTTCTTATCGGTGTTCTGACCACACAGTGAATAAAGTTTAACACAACGTGTAACGCGGAATAAAACGCTGATATATAAAGTTCTCATGATTAATATATAATTGTCCCCTCATGATTCATTTTTACTGCACACATCCTGAACACTTCATGTTTCATCGCAAACAAGATCTTAGAATACTGCGGCTGTCATGTTTCCCTTTCTGAAGATGATGTTACGTTTCGAAAGTACACAGATCGGATCAGTAGTCATGCAATAAAAAAAAGCATTGTGATGGTTGTTTTCTTATTAAATTAATCAAAGAACCCTTTCAACATATATTTCCCAGAAATAAAGTAAGTAAAAGGTGTATGCATAAATCGCCAAGACAAACTGGGTTTTGAGGATTTCATTTTCATCTAAAAACATGATGAGAACTGGAGAAAGTTTTTGAAATTGATACTGACATATTGATTCAAAGGTTCAAAAGAGAACAGGTATCAGCGTGATTAATCAGCTTTTTCAGTGACATGAATTATCATGGAAAAAGAAACACAAGAGAAACTGAAAAACTCCAGTTTAACTCGACTTGGGTGTAACAATTAAAAAAGGTAAGATTCAAAACAGGGTTCGATCGATCGGTACCTGATACTCGGCTGAATTACGCGCACAAACTAAACCATAAAGACCATAAACGATAAAGTACTGGATCAAGAAAATTGTTCCGTAAAAGTGACTGCTGCGCAAGAAAAGTAAGATGCATGTTTCGGCTTCGTTCTGATTTGTTGCTTTAAATGTGCTCTGACTGAAAGATTAGAGTTTATACTGATCGCTTCATTACAAAATCTCAGTATTTGAATGAATCTCTGTCATTGTAATAGGACAATTCCAGTTCCTAACACAGATTAAACTGGATTTTACAGTAAGACCAGCTCCAGTTTTGATCCAAAGCAATTAATCTTAATGCGCATACGAAAGGCCTTAAATTTAATGGACCTTCTCGGTGATACGGCGTTCATTTTGAACTCTATTGTTTCAAACATCTATTATAAGATGCTCAGGGGGCAAATACATTCTAATTTGCCTCCTGGGTATCCCATAATAGCTATTTGAAACGATAGAATTCAAAATGGCCGCGATATCGTCGAAAAGGTCCATTTCATTTGTTTTAATGTGTTTTAAATTTAATTTTACTTGTTTTAATTTATTTTGAATTTAAGTTCACTTGTTTTAATGTATTTAAAATTTAACTTTACTTGTTTTATGTCATCTTATTTAAACAGAAGCATTTGACATGAACAACAGAGGTGTGATTAGACTGGCTGTCTCTATAGGCCTTGTTATAACCCTCTTTCTTCTCAACACTTGTCGTGCTACTAAGGCCATCGAGTTATGCAAGGAATGTCTGTACATCCTCAACAACAAAGCAGTCATAAGAAGCGAAGTGAGCCACACATTTTATAATCATATCAGTCATTTTATAATGTTCGTGGCGTACTGTCTGATCAATGATTACACAAGCGCAATAAATTACGGTAGAACACTTCTTGTGATACTCTACAACAGTGGTGAAAAAGCTTTAGAAAGTAAGCTAAGCTTAGAACTGGCAAAGTTACATCATCGTCAATGCAAACATTCGGAAGCAAAAAAACTCTGTCGGAAAGCACTAGCGATCTATACAGAAATAGGTCAACGTGAAGGAGAAGCGTCGTGTTACGAATCACTAGGAACTGTTTTTTTATCTCTTGGTGAATATATCAAGGCTACGGAAAATCTTGAGAGAGCTCTTGAAATCAGAGAGAAAATTGGCGACAGAATTGGACAAGCCTCATGTTACGGGAACCTGGGAAGTGCTTTCCACTTTCGAAGTGAATATCGCAAAGCTGAAGAATACACAGAGAAAGCACTTGTGATCAAAAGGGAAAGTGGTGATAGGAGAGGAGAAGCCGCATGTTACGGACAACTAGGAAAAGTTTATCTATCTCTTGGCGAATATTGTAAGAGTGAAGAATATGTCAAGGAAGCGCTTCAGATCAGGAGAGAGATTGGCGATAGAAGTGGAGAGGCAGCTGATTACAGCATGTTAGGAACAGTGTTCCAGTCTCTTGGTGAATATGTCAAAGCTCAAGATTACCATGAGAAAGCACTTAAAATTAGTCAAGCAATTGGGGACAGGAATGGCGCAGCCGGGTGTTATAGAAATCTAGGAGCGGGTTTTATACATCTTGGTGAATATGTCAAGGCTAACCGGTATCTTGAGAATGCGCTTACCATCGAAAAAGAAATTGGAGACAGAAACGGAGAAGCAACCTCTTCTCTAAACTTAGGGAATGTATTTCTTTCCCTTGGTAAATATGAGGAGGCTAAAGATTGCTTTGAGAACGCACTTACTATCGCAAAAGAAATTGGTTGCCGAAAAATAGAAGAATCATCTAACGGCAGCCTTGGAAATGTGTTTTCCTCTATTGGTGATTTTGTTAAGGCTAAAGAATATCAGGAAAAAGCACTTTTGCTCTCAAAAGAAATCGGTAGCAGAGACGGAGAAGCAGCAGCTTACGGAAACCTAGGAAATGTGTTTCTTTCTCTCGGTGAATATGCCCAGGCTGAATATTGTCTTCAAAAAGCACTTGCAGTGAGTCAAGAGATTGCAGACGTTCAAAATCAATTCGCATGTCTTTGCAAGCTTACACAGGTTAAATTTCTCGAACAAAACAATGAAGAAGCGCTTTTGTATCTGCTTTCAAGCATTCATAAATGCGAGAAATTGCGGCTTTTTCTTGGCGATAATGACCATTTCAAAATACATTTCTCAGATGAGCACCGTTTTCCTTACTGGATGCTCAGTCAAATGCTTTGTGCTGCGGGAATTCCTCAAGAGGCCCTGTATATTGCAGAGCTCGGAAGGGCCAGAGCTTTGGCAGATTTAATGTCAGCTCAGTACTCCGTGGAGAATCAAATCTCAGCTGATCCTCAATCTTGGGTTCGTCTGGACAGGATTGTGAAGAAGGAAAGTACCAGCACTTTTCTTTACCTTTCTCACTCTTCTCAAGGAATGCGTTTGTGGGTTTTAAAAGGAAGTGGTGAAAAACATTTCCGAGAAATAAAAGCAAGTGATGACACTTTTCACCGCGGACTTTTTCGAAATTTAGATGATTTTTTCGCCCAGAGCTTTAGACGATTTGATGTTTTGCCAAAAGTAGGTTGCGAAGATCGTTCTTTGAATGGTAACAGAGTGCCATCCAAGTCATTTCAGGAAGGTAAACTCGCATCTTTCAGAATTGTGGTGGAGGAAAAGGAAGAAAATCAAAATCTCGAACAGAGTCTTTTTTTGTGTTACAAAATGATCATAGCTCCCGTGGCCGACTTACTCGAGGAGCCCGAAATCATCATTGTTCCTGATCGCTCCTTGTACAACGTTCCATTCGCAGCCTTACCGGCTAAGAGAGGGAAATATTTGTCCGAGACTCATAGGATCCGTATCATTCCTTCTTTAACGACTCTCAAGCTCATCCAAGACAGTCCTGCAGACTATCACAGTCAGACTGGTGCACTGATAGTCGGAGATCCCGATGTTGGTTTGGTGCGATACAAAGGAAGGAAAGAGAGCATATCTAGATTGCCCTGTGCAGGAAAGGAAGCAGAGATGATTGGACGACTGCTGGGTGTTCAACCTTTGTTAGGAGATCAAGCAACTAAGCAGGCGGTACTTGAGAGAATCAATTCAGTGAGCCTGATACATTTTGCTGCGCATGGTGATGCTGAAAGAGGAGAAATTGCCCTTTCTCCTCTTCGCCCTACTAACAGAACTCCTAAAGAAGAAGAATACTTGTTAACAATGTTTGACATTTCAAGAGTTCAGCTGCGAGCCAAACTTGTGGTACTTAGCTGTTGTCACAGCGGCCAAGGACAGATAAGAGTCGAAGGCGTTGTTGGAATCGCTCGGGCGTTCTTAGGATCCGGTGCACGCTCGGTGTTGGTTGCACTGTGGGCCCTGGAAGACAGTGCAACAGAACAGTTCATGAGTCGTTTCTACGAGCACCTTGTTCATGGTGAAAGTGCCAGTGAATCTCTTCATCAGGCCATGAAGTGGATGAGAGCTAACGGCTATTCTAACGTGAGGCAGTGGGCGCCTTTCATGCTGATTGGAGATGACGTGAAATTTGATTTTGGAAAATAAAGAAATAATTTTTCTTGATTGGGAAACGAAATCTATTGGTTCCAGTTATCCCAGTTGACTTAAAAGACCTTAAAGAAAGCAAAAATGCTTTGAAGATAAAATTGTAATAAGTTTAACAAGCCATGCGTCCTGTTCTTTACCGAACATCATGGAGTATATTCAAAAGTTAAAAGTACCGCAAAATTAAAATTAAAGGTTTTTTATGTTCTTTCGAGTGCGTTGTTTCTGTTTGATTAGTAAGGATCTGTATCAATTTTCTATTTCTTTTCATGTGTGTGAAAGAAAGAGATGACAAACTGACTCAACTCCTAAAATCGTGACTACGTAAAACTTATTCAAAGAACCCTTTAAGGTGGCTCAAAGCAGTTTTTAGCAGTTAGATTTTGATAGGTCATTATTACCACTCTTTATCACTTGGTGCTACAATCATGGTATCAAAAAACTACCCAATCATTGGTGAACACGTTGTTATCATTTTCGTGACACAATAGGTTACCATAGCAACAGTATGACCTGCTGAAAACACCCTTAATTACAGCTTTAGAGGCTTATAATTCAAAAGCGGCACGGTGAAATTTTTTCATTTTATCAAATTTTCATAAGTATGATAAGACGCAACTTTTGGCAAAGTTTTAAAAAAATCTGTACATAGGGTTCAGAGCCACCTTTCAAGAGGTTCTAAATATTTGACTTGAAAAGTCGCAACCGGAGGTTTGACTGGAAGTAGTGACGATGGCTTTCAAAAACAAAACGTAAACGGCTAATGACTACTTTTCCATATCCGTCTAGTAAAATCCCAAGAAAGAGCCTATCAGAACACTCAGATTAACCTGGGTCAACAGAATTCGGAAACTGATGTCCAAGAATTTTCACACGATCCGTTTGTGTTTTCTTTGCCATGCGTTGTGTGTGTGTGTGTGTTTTTTTTTTTTGCCATTTTAAATTTTTTCGTTGTTCCCTATTGCTCTTTTGATTTTATGTTGCCTTTAATTCTCGGATTTTTGTCGATATGTTTGTCTCTTCCATGGTTTGTTTTCCCATTTGCGTTCTCTTCACCCATATTCGGAGAGCTTCCCTCCTCTCCCCTCCCTCGTTGACATTTCCAACTATCTCCCAGCGATCTTTGCGAGTGAAGTGTTCGTCTCCGCTATTCGGCACGTGTGCAAGAAAAATAGCGGAAAATCGAGTTTACCGTTGATTTCAAAGGTTTGTTTTTAGTTTCAAAAAGGCCTTTAACGACTGATGTTACATACTTGATGTGAGGCATAAGCTAAAGTAACTTTAATTTTTTGCATGTCGAAGCTAGAGGGTGGAGACGAATGTGAATGTGTATGTGGAGACGTTATGTTTGTTGACAACCTCTGAAGTTCAGGATCTCGATCTGGACGAAGGTAAGCTGGCAAATTGTTTCACAGTGTGATTGCCTTACGACTATATAATAGGATAGGACATAAATGATGCATGGGTACCCATCGGAGTCTATTCTGCCCTATTAGAGACAAACTGACTTGAAATGAAATTTCTATGGACATCCATCCTCACCCGAGACGAAGCTGTGTACAATATTCAAGCAGTAGAGCACTGATGAATGGATTTTTCAATATTTGTGGTGTCAATAGCACTGTGAAGTGAAGAGTACAGTTGTTTGCTGATAATTTTTCCCAAGAGAATAAGTGAATTATTTAACATGAGAAACATCGAATTCATCAGGATAGCCTGTTTGGATCATGTGTACTTAAGGTCATTCCACTGAAATAGAACCTGCACTGAGATTTTTGTGAAACTTTGCTTATTGATTGTTTATATTATAGGAAATTAAATTTTGACATAAAAATGAGGGGTTTCCATGTTCGTTTAGGTGCAACAGCACCTTGTTTATACCCAATAAATCCTTATAATAGCCCCATGATATCACGATTGCTTGCTAAATTCATGTTTCCAACAATTGTTTTTTGTTCTACACTGAGAATTGGTCCATATTTATTTTACATGGAGAAATTTATTTCTCAATTCAAAACAACAGGAAAAAAATGATAGGTCACCATACTCATTTGCGAGAAAATGATGATTTACCTCTACGGCAAGGACCAGCCGTAAAGAAAAAGCCGCAATTTTTTTTAATGTGCACGCTAATCATGCGTGCTATTATGCATGAAATTATGCGGAGTAAGGATGCGCAATGCAATACTGGGGAATGACCTTAGGGCATATGTGGGCTGAGTATTGCTCGATACTATTGGCTGATATGTCGACTGACACTCAGCCAACACTCAGCCGATACTTCATTGACAATTGGCCAACACTATGCTCATTTGGTCGGCTCTTGTTACTGACTTCTATCTTCTCTACTCAAATATTAAACAATCTTCTCTAGCCCTTTGAGAGGGTCTTTTGGCAGCCCTCGTCTGTTTTTGACTTTTCATACTGGCAACATTCATCTGTCTCAAACACTGTTTTTTCCAGTTATGCTTGGTGAGACCTCAAGTTGCATTACATATGTATTCGAAATGACGGCAGTTTGAGCTGCATCCTGGCTCTATCAACATATGAGTATTGACGAGAGAGATTCTTCTTTCGTGTTTCCTGTGGGTAAGGAGACGGTTGACAATACACCGATACCACCGATAGTCGACCTATACACCCTATTGATTGTTGATCATAACATGTCGGTCGAGGTGTGTCAACTGACATACCAACCGATAGTGTCGACTGATGGTCTATTAACTTGAATAACATGTTGACTGACACTCGGCTGACTCTCAGTCAACATATTGACCGTGAATGGGCCCATATATGGACCGACTGTCAGTCGATATGTCGGCCGATAGTATCAACCAATAATCAACCGACAGATGCACTAAGAACACATGATCTGCCTGTTTTAATTAACAATTAGATTATGAGCTCTAGATTTCTATGAGGTGATAGTTAATGAGGCCAAAAGCCGAATCAACTATCGCCTCATAGAAATGGAGGGTGAATAATTTAATTGTTGTAGTAGAATTCTAACTTAAATTAATGCAAATAATGGTTTCCAAATATTTTTTGACATATTATTGAACTTTACGCTTTAACAAAATCACGCGTATTGAATTGTCCTAGGTAAATTTGCACTTGTTTATGCGTGCGCACCGGTTTTTCAATAATTTCAAGTTTTTAAAGTCAAGAATTCGTTTATGTCCTTCTTTTAGCCTTCTCAGGAATTTAATTATCCATTTACATCTAAACTTACTTCCAAATCTTCGGAAAAACGATAAAAACGTCACATTTTGTGGATGACCGACAGCTACTGCACTCTAATGGCTGATGGTATGCGAGTACATGTAGCTCAGCCATTCAGATTGCAGCACTTGCATTAGTATAGAATTCTACTAACTAGTATTAGAAAATAGGCTGGAGAAAATATGCGAGCTGATTGTTTAAAAATCATGTTTCTATTGAACAATGAGTGAATGAATGAATTAATGAATGAATAGGTGGGTTCACACTAACATAGTAAGTAGACCTTGAATATACGAAGAGCTCAAGTGTGCTTGAGATCATGTATGATTGCTTGGGTTGATTAGTGTTCGTATTTGATTGATTAGTGATTAGTGTTCAAATTCTTAGTATACTTCTTTGAAACCATCAAATTTAAGTTACTACTAAATGAAGCAAAAGCAAGGTTGTGCCGAATATCCTGGTGCTGTATTTCATTCTGGTAAAGGCAACAGGGAGCACCTGGACATTAACATAATTACTAAACATTATAATTGTTATTAAAGTGATTGAAGTTGGAGTTTTGAATTTTCCATGTCGTTCGTTTGCTTGAAAGCCACACGTCTTGCGTGTCCTGATATGCCAAAGAAAAAGCACATTTGATTGACATTCAATTCCCTGAAATTGTTCTGATAGTGTGTAAGTAAGCTGCTAAGGGTGGTTGAGTGCGACTTGAAAGTGCACTTCG